TGACACATAAAAAAAAAAAAACGGTTTTAATTAGGTCATTAAAATATGCGATTATATGCTTTCACAGCAACCGATGCTGGCTTACCGGTATACTTGCCAACCCTGAAACCTCAGAAATCGGGAGCATTTCCAAAACCACCGCGGGGGGTTAGTGGATCGCCGGAGCTGTATTAGATTAACATTAACATGCTTATTGTAGCTGTAAGTGCACTGCCTTGCGGCCTGTAGCACCATCCTTGATGGAGCATATGTGTGGGCTGGACCTGTCTTTTACAGGAAAGGAGTGAGCAGAGGGTAGAGTTGTCGATTCTTGTTCTGTTTTCTGTGACTATCTTCCTCACCCTCTCTGACTTTCAGTTGCGCGCGCTACTAAAGAGACGCGCTACCATGGAAACCAAACAATGGTGTAGCTGTATTAAAGTCTGAGTGGAAACAGTCCTGAGTAAATCTGATATTGTCAGAAATCGGGAGAAATGCGGGAGGAAACCGGGAGAGGGCAATGAAATCGGGAGTCTCCCGCGAAAATCGGGAGGGTTGGCAAGTATGCTTACCGGTATGTTTGAAAACGCGAACGTTCTCCGATTGATGGTTAAGAGACCCTTCTTTCGTTTGAGTTTTTAAGTCTGTGATTAAGGATTTAGATGGGTTGGTCAAAGCCCTTGGTATAGAGTGGCGAAGTCACGCCCATCTACTTCCGGTCCATGGGACCTTATTTCGGAAAAATTATGCATTGAAGTCGATGAAGAGAGACAACTTATCTTTCGATCCCGTTTGAATTGTGCCATGAATTACACATATGATGTTTGTCAATCTTAAAAAATCATAAAACGGAGTAGCGATATGACACGGACTGTTGCACACCGAAACCTACTGATTTCAACACAACATCTACAGTATAGACGTCAAGATATTATTATTGCTGAATATTAAATGAAGGTACAGTTTATTTGAATACGTTATTGTTTACAGACGTGGGTAGCATGAGACAACATCCGGAACAACCGGAAATGATACCAGCCGTGAAGTATTTCCTGTATTTTTGGAGTATTGATTACAGCGTTCAAAATGTATTAAATGAAAAGTCATGAAAGAGAAAAGGCGTGTTTAGTTATATATTTAATGTACAATGTCTGAATCCTCTGTTATGCGCAACAACGAACATTGGAGACGTGGAGGGCCGGCCCCCAGCAGCGCCAACCGGCACACGGGGAGGAGCCAGCAGAGGATATATAACAGCTGGAGAGGTGGAGCTCGCTTCTTTCCTTTGCTCACAAGAGCCAGAACACAGTTGTTTTCCATTCCACTGCCTTCATTGATGTTGGTGCGAGTAAATGACTCAATGTATTGTATTAATATTCCTTAATATCAGAAAGACAAGTCCATGGAGCAATATTTCAATTATTTATTTTCTTTATATAAAACTTCTTAATATAAAACTTCCAAAAAAATATTAAACAATGTCAACTTTTAGGCTCTCCACTTTGCCATTATCAAGGTGGAGTTCAACCCACAGTGGCACGATGACTGTTGGAAGTTCTAATGTTTGCCTTTTTTTTGCAGATTGTTATTTTCTTTAGTAATTGATGTGAAACGTTTCTATATATGTGACCTGCTCTATCGAAATCAGTCGCATTGACCCGAAGACACATTTTGAGTTGTATACACTGTTGGAAAGAGGAGAGTCCTAGCTTTCTAATGATATCAGGATTGTTGTTGTACTCTAAATATTAAGCAAAATATGTCACATTATATAATAACTGTCATCATTTTGAGAGAAAGGCCTTCAAAGTTTCCTCTTCTCTGGAATCCATCAATCTGATTGGTTATTAGCAAATGATCAAAATACTACGGAGGGAAGATGTTTTCGTTTGGATTACTGGTCTGGGGGAAGCTCGCGAGTGTGTGTGTTTTAGTAATGTGTCGGTCGCGAACGAGCCGGCTCAAAGAGCCGGCTCTTTTAAGTGAACGACGGGAGCCGGCTCTCGCCCGCAAACGAGCCGTTTTTTTTTTGTTTTTGCGGAGGGATCTAGATCGGCATGAAGGCACATTATGCAATGTGCACATTATCCCGCTTATTACACATGGCCACAGTCTCAACAAAGTAACGACATGACTCCCAATATTAATTGAAATGCTTTTATGGATTTAGAAAATGATTTTATTGATTTAAAAAATAGTTTTATGTATTGATTTAAATTGACATGCATCCGCTAAGAAAAGTAGTCCGTTGTTACTGTTTGAACTAACGTAGCAACGGCAGGAACTGCTTCGATAGTGTTTTTGAGGAGCTTTTTGATTACAGATTTGAAAACATCGTTGCTTGCTTTAAAAGTAGCACAATTCATGATGTCAAACCTTGGAAAGTATCTAGATATCCCTGCCCTAATGCCAAAGTAACTGCACACTGAATATGTGTCGCCGTTTGATGTCTATGACTGGGCCGCAGCGTAAAAAGGAGGGTTTCTGCCCCGTTACTTCTCTTCTTACTTCTATAAGAATAAAACACGGAGGACGGAGATCTCTTTTTCTCCCCCTCTTCTGACAGCCCAGCAGCTGATCTCAAAGCATGCTCCCCTCTCCTGCAGGGGGGCGTGGTCAGCTGCAGCACACAGAATCAGCCCTGCAAAAACAGCGCTGGAAAGAGCAAATGGAGCGAAATGAGGCATGGCTAAAATGCAGGATCTTTTTGGTATTTTGAAAAAAAAACTATATTTATATACTTTATATAGGTCGATACAGTAGCCCCTTTTTTAAATAGTGTTTATAGGTGTTGCTATCTGTTTTGTGTAGCGTGGTTCTACAAGCAAGTCAATGCATTCATTCGGTGGTATCAGAGTTACACGGGTCTGTAAATGCAATGAAAACAATTGGCCACAGCAAATCATTTATATTAAACATGTAATTTTTACTTTTGAATACTTCAGTACAAAGGATGTATTGAATAATTTAAGTGATAGATGTGTACACATATAAATCATTAGTCAAAACAGGGCTACATTTGATTTAATTAAAAGGTATAATATGTGGTAAACTGAAGAGCCGTTTAGGGGGCCGAAAGAGCCGGCTCTTCTTGGTAAGCCGAGACAAATGATCCGGCTCACCAAGAAGAGCCGGAATACTAAACACTAGTGTGTTTATGTATTTTTGCGTTTGTGTGTATTATGTTTGTATCCCAGGGAAAACCCTAAGGAGAAACACCGGCTATTGTTATGCCTGCTGAGATGTCAAGTTACTCCGTTCTCCGCTTGTAATTATGCCGAAAGCTTCAAAGCTGTATTTATCATCTGAATTTGCCGAAACAAGTTTAATATTCTGAAAGCCAAGACTTGTTATCTATGATTACTATACGCCTTACCTTCATAATGTCAGCGGAGGGAGGGGGGGCGGCGTGAGGAACAGCAGAGTGAGAGAGAGAGCCGTCTTCGTCCCTTTACAAGCTTCAAACATGTATTTATCGTGTGATTTTGGAAATAAAAGTTTCATATTCTGAAAGGCAAGACTTTGTTTATTTAAAATCAAACAAAACACCCGAACCCCGAAAAACTATTTTTTTACGCAAATCCACGTTTATTTTGAAATGAGCCGTTGAGACTTCCGACTGATTTCAATAGAGCGGGTCACATATTGTTTGTTTTTAATGTATAGATGTTTTTTTTATCACTTGTTCTTTCACACAAATTACTTTATTTTTGTTCACCTTTTACAGAATATATTTTTTAGTAATTGATTTAAACAGTTTTATATAGTTTAAAAAAAAGATGTATTCATTCACTTGCCGTTTGTCAGATTGTATTCAAATAAAAAATAACGCAAAAAACTTAAACAGCGCAAATATATTAAAAAAAAATTCACCTCAGATTTGATAACAAAAATGTCACCTTTTCACTTGTGTTTTCCTGAATATAATTTGTTACTAATTGATTTGAACAGTTTTATATACAGGGTTCTCGCGGGGTCTTAAAAAGTCTTACATTTGATAATTAGAATTTAAAGGCTTAAAAAGGTCTTACATATGATTTAGAAGGTCTTAACCTCTTAAGCCCAAAGGTCCCCCCAGTGGACCCCTCCCACAGTTTTTTTTCGAGACTATGTCTCAGGGCTTCTTAACATTTTTGAAACTATTAATGTTTCATACCCTTTTAAAGGTAAGAAACTCCGCTAACTGACAATAAGAACAATTGTTAGCTAAAAGAAACACAAGAGTAATACCAAGCCTTTGAATTAGCATTGAGCGAAAAAATGCTAACTAATGCTAACGCTTTTTTACACAGAACTCACGGTAGAAATGCCCTTATTACTATCTTAACGGCACAAACAAGATATACGATTTAAAGCTGAGACTCCACAGATTCCACACATGTAATGTCATCACTGTAAGACCTCGAATTCCTGGAGCTATCAGCCAGAAAAGAGAAAGTAAACAACATCCGGTTCCAAAAATATTACAATAATTACGTCTTACCTTTTTTGATTTGTGATCAAAAGTTGTGTTCAACGGAATAAAAACGCCGCTCAAGGTTAATCCAATGTCTTTGTGTCACGTAGACATTTTTACTGATAATCCATCATCATAGTTATGGCAATATACTGGGTATAAAGTGTTGCCGTCCAGGCTTGCACTTTCAGATATGCTTCGTTTGCTTCTCTATTACGTTGGCAATGGTAATGTTTACGTGGATTTGGGAACTGCCCATCGATTCTATTGGTTCTGATGGTTAAGAAAAAGGTGTAAATCACACGAATCGACCAATGGGTTCCAGAGATATGGTCCTGCGTAAAGTATAAAGAATGCCAGCCAGCGTAACAACATTACGCAGCCGACTTCATTTATTGTTTACAACGTAACGAAGCAGGAATTGCAGCAGGACCCAGAGCGCACGGAGCACAGAGCGGATAGCAGATACCAGAGCAGATTACAATATTTGCGTTTAGGACTTTTTCTGTACTTTGACTTTTGTCAAATAATGGCTCACAGGAAAGAGATGCTTACTACTTTACAGGCAATGGAAATTGTGACTAATGTTGACAGCAATGCAGATATGTTACCTGTTGATTCTGAGTCAGACGACGAGGATCTCCTGCAGCCAGAACGGAACCCGGACCGTTGTGACTCTGATGACGAAATTCCACCACGGCAAAGGTATGTAATCTCTCTGTTTTTATCTATTACTTATTTATTTGGTGTACGATTATTCATATAGTAAATAAAAGCTTCTGCTAAATGAAATGCAATGTAATGTCAATTCACACGCAAAATGGCATGTTTGGCAGGAATTAGAGGGGTTATTTACAAAAATACCAAATAGTGTTTATTGTCCGTTACATTTACTAAAAGTATAGGTCAGTGTTCGTCTATAGTCACTAAATGTATTGCATTCACACACTCAAAATGGCATGTTTACTGCCAAGGAAACAGGACTTACAGGAATTCATCTAATCTCTTTGTTATTCCACATTTGTTTTCATAGTGATGGAGATGAGGATGAAATGACTTCTGGACCCCCACCATTGTCTACTTTCACCCAGCCCACACCTGCCTCACCCTCACATTCCTCAACTTCTGCCTCACCTTTCACTAGAAAGAGATCTGCACCAGTATTGGCCACTCAGCCTGCATCCAAAAAGCACTCACTTCCAAAGCTACCATCGTCTGCTTTCTACCAGCTTTCTGCAGCGTCAGACACATCTGTAAAACCCAGGAAGCGTGGCCGAGGTGGGGCTCCCACTCCTCAGCCAGGAAAAGGAAAAGCATCAGATAAATGTGTAAAACCCAGGAAGCGTGGCCGAGGTTCTTCCTCTTCCAGAACGACAGAAGAAGAACTCGGGTGGCACAACAGAGAGGAGAATGACCAAACACCAGAGTCACTGAATTTCACGCCAGCCAGAAAAAAGGCTGAAAGGGGAGATCTGCGGTGGATAAGGGAAGGCAAACTCGTTCATAAAGTGGATGGACAGCCGTGAAGTGACCATGTGCTCCACAGTGCATGCAGCCTTCAGTGGAAAGACTGTCAGGAGGAAAGTGAAACAGGCTGGTGTGTGGCAGACTAAGACTGTTCCCGTTCCTGACGCTGTGTTGGACTACAACCGAAGCATGGGTGGCGTGGATGTGTCTGACGCTTTGATCGGGTACTACAGCGTTCTCCACAAAACAATGAAATGGTACAAGACTTTTTTTTTTCATTTTATGGACATTGCCGTGGTGAACAGCTTCCTTCTCCACCTGTTCAAGATGAGGAGTTACCCCAGCAGGACAAAGCCACACACACAGAAGACTTTCAGGGAGCAGCTGGCTGCAGAGATGTTGGAATATGCTGAAGGCTATGCACCATGTTTTGCATCAATCTTGATACAGGGTACTTATTATATGTTATAGTTTAGATTCCTAAAGCTTTTAGTCTACTAACCCATCATGCAAGGGTGGTTTTCACTATAAGTAAAGGTTTATTTTTAGGCGGACATTAGAATTTACATGTTTTTACTATGTTCCATCTGAATTTACTTTAAAAATAAAAACATCTATATTGATTCTGACACTTCTACATCCAACTCACAGATGTAACCTTGCTTTGAGAAAAATAATTATTAATTTACCCCTTTTAGAAGTGAAGATATATCATTTGTTGTGTTAGTGGCATTTTTTAGCCTGAAACCTGAAAAACAGGCTCAGGGCTTAAGAGGTTAAAAATGATGGGATTTGAAAGGTACTTCTGTGTTGCGATAGCCGCGTCTAAATGTGTTTTGGGGGAAATGTCCGGGCTACAAAGTAACCAAGACGGTAAGAGCTTTTCAGTTCCCCCCAACAATTTGTATTGAAATGAATCAACATGGAACCAGTAATCACTAACTTTGTTTCCCCCGGCTCCTTATCGGAGAACACCCAGCTAGTAACCTAGCAACCAAGCTAGCGGCAGTCAAACTCAGGTATCTTCGAATGTACTTAAAACAAATATGGGGAAGTTCAACCGTATTTGGTTGGAAAACATCGAATTTAGTGCTTGGTTGAAACCAGTGGAGGGAACGTGTTTGAAGCCCGCTGCACCTTTTGCAAAAATAAAGTAGCGTTTGTTCTGCTAATGTAGCGTTAGCTAATGCAGCGTTAGCCTCCTGGGTTTTAGGCGGCGGAAGTGACGTAATCTGCCTGTATTCTGCCTACATGTATTATTTTCGGTTGTGTATGTGTGTTTACAAGTATAACATTTAAATTATAACAATCCTAATTTGTGGATTCATTTTATTATGGTATTTGAGTTTGTTTCAGATGAAGTTTGGTAGGTTTTACAGAATATATTTGTTAGTATTAATTTGAAACGTTTTATATCGTTTTTGTTCATGTATTGTTTGACAGATTGTTATTTAATTGATATGAAACGTTTCTATACTTTTTCCCCCCTATTGTTCCGTTTTGATTGTTATTATTTATTACTTAATTTATATAAATGTTTTTTCCCCCATGTTCTGGTTTTTGAAAATAAAATGTGCCAAATGCCCGTGTGCTAGTGTTAATTTCGTTGACTAAAACTATGACGAAATATGTTCGTCAACAACCTTTTTTTCCATGACGAAAACGAGACGATGACGAGACGGCAGTAAACAATAACTGTAACGAAATCATCATGTAATATCGTTGACGAAAAGTGACGAGACGAAAATGTAGTTTACTAAATAAAAACTATGCCAAAATCTCTCTTTACTTTCGTTGACGAAACATGAGGAGACGAAATATTATCAAAGATAACGTTACATTTCTGATATGCAGTTTTTCTCCCAGCAGTTTCATTTCCGGGGCTGCGGCAGGGCAGCAGCTGTGTGTCTGTGGTGCGCTCGGCGGTAGATTTGAATTACACCGGGCAGCGGCAAAATATGAACTGTCAGGAAGACTCGGGTCTAACTCATGGTCTAACTAACCTTATTTAACAGAAAATAAAATGGCAACAACAGGGCTTGGGAGCAGTGGTCGCACTCGCGTTAACCAAATACCCCCCCGTCAGCGCGAGTGATTGATAAATTGTGCACTCGACGGATAATAATGGATTATGACGGAAATGTTACGATCCTGTCCGTCAAAATGACTGACAACGAAAAAGTCTAAAGCCACCACTGCTTGGGAGAAAGAAACGATGTGATATTTGGGCCCATTTTCGCTACAATGAGGCGGAGAAAAAAAGCGAAGGCATTGTTTTATCAGAAGTGAAGCAATGTGGCCATAACACAGCTGGTAAAAACACCACAAACCTGACCAGATACTCTCTGCAAAGCTTCTTAATCATTCAACCTGTGTTTTTCATAAGGACAAGATATAATCTTATTGTGAAATACGTTTGACTAAAATGACAAATTATTGGTTTTGGCTAGACTAGTTTGACTGAAATGTTCTATATAATCTGATGACTAAAAAAGACTCAACAGTTTTCATTGACAAAAAGTAGACTAAAATGCTCAGACTTTTAGTCGACTAAATCTTGACTAAATAAAAACAGGATGAAGGTGACTAAATATGACTAAAACTAAAAAGGAAATTTAACACAGGACTAAGACTAAAACTAAATAAAAAAATAGCTGACGAAATTAACACTACCGTGTGCTTACCGAGAGTGCAGCGATCTTTCAAAAAAAGGAAAGAAGAGAGTAACATCATCTCTTAAAATAATATATCATGTAATAGATGAAAGGCTATTATTATGACATAACATGTTACAATTTGCCAAGTTAAATATTGGTAGAGAATAATAATGCCATGTCAAATCCCTAATATCTAGGCACCTGTTTGGTGTGTAAGGGGTTTTAAATCTGAATTCTCACCTCTCCCATCAGCTCTGCGTGCACTTTGGAGACCCCATAGATGGTGCGAGGTCTCTGCACACACAGATCTGGAGTGGGGTTTCTGGGAGAAGTGGGACCGAAGGCTCCAATGGTGCTGGGGACAAACAGACGCAGGCCGTGCTCCGCTGCGATGTCCAGGATGTTGTGAACACCTAACAACGAGAAAAATAAACAAGGACAACACACTTCACCTAAACTTCCACTCAGTGTTTTGTCCCAAGAATATGATGTCCTTACCGGTGATGTTTACGGAGCCAGGGCCACGTTGGCCTCTCCAACAGCACTGAGCAGGGCGCTGTATTGAACCAGCCAAGTGATGCGGTTGTTCACCACAATTTCCCCCAGGTTCTTGTAGTCCAGGATGTCTGAGTAGATGAAGGGGCCTGAAAACGAAAGAAATTATTTTATAAATCAAACGTTCTGAAATCTGCCCTTCCCTTGGAAGATTTTTTAAACGTATGATCTTTTATTATGTATTTTTACTGCACTTTGAGCTTGTATCAAAAGTGCTCTATAAATTAGGCTTATTATTATTCATCATGATTTAGTTTTATTATTATAACCTGTGACATTTTGTCCAGTTACACTGTTCTAATACTCAAATCCCAAACGTTCATTACGTCTTTGGACAGCTCATTACTTGACTTTTAGAAGGACAAGGTCACACAACAAAAAAAAAATCAATAACTGGACAAGCCTTATTTGCAAACACTGTTTGTTGTTTGTGTTATCTGGCAATAAAGTTTAGTACGTTTGTAAAACATTCACACATTTTTGAAGGTTTAATCTGGTATTAAACAACACTTACCAGAGGAACGATTTGATGTGATAACAGATTGTCTCGACAATCAAGAGCGTGGATGCTCCCATTTGCCAAATTAACTAAATGTCATCAGAAACACCCAGGCTTTTCAAAATAAAAAAGAATAAAAAAGGTGCTTTGCGCAGACCAGATCTGATCAATTTCAGGAAGCAGAATACAGTAATACAAGTCGACTCACCACTATGGAAAACGCTGCTCGGAGGTTTCCTGATGTCGGACAGGATGACGTTATTCTTTCCAAACTTCTTTCTGTGAATCGGAGAGTCAATGTTACTCAATTGGAAAATGTACCAGAAAGTATTTGGCAATAAGAGGTTTTCTGGCAAACCATGTGATTTTCGATAGTTACTGACAAATCTTATGGAGAGACAGAACGGCGTCATTGGGGGAAAACACAAACATCAGCAGCTAATAATCATCAGTGTTTGTTTCCATGGAGACTAAAGTAACTTAAAGAGTGGGCCTTGAAAAAGAAAGGTCAGAGTACTTAACGCCTACGTGCTTTGTTTTTTTTACTGTCATTTTTGTTATGCTTTCATTGCCAAACTTGTTACAAATCCTGCTGGTCTTGAATAATCTTATTAACTACCATGTGTGTACAAAAAGCTGGTGTACCACTATGTTTAACAGGTGTGTAATATACCAAATAAACAGATGCTCAAGTGTGCTTACCGAGAGTGCAGCGATCTTTCAACATAATCTCTTAAAATAATATATCATGTAATAGATGAAAGGCTATTATTATGACACGGCAGATAAATGAACAGCCAAGGTTTCTGTTTTATATTCTACGCAAAAAACACGCTCTTTTTCCATCTTGGATGAAGTCTTTCCCTTGCCACATCACCCCGGTTTTACGCCCATGCAGGCGGGTTGTGTATAGAGATGGGCGAGTCATGATTCATCCGGATCATTAACCCGGATCCTAGTAATGAGCCGGTCGTGACGAGTCTCCCTCTCGATTAACCCGAGTCCTTTGAGTCCTACACCTGATGTGACGTAACAATTACAACTATAAATTGCGTGACTCTTTACTCTCTTTATAACGTGTACAATCACATTACAACGTTGTTGTATCCAGAGATCCAGCAGACTCGTCGCCATGCACGAATCAACAGCGGAGGCGTGTGGTGCAGTGGGTTGTGAGTTGGTATTCGGATCAGGAGGTCACAGGTTCAAACCCCACTGCAGTCAGCATGTCGTTGTGTCCCTGGGCAAGACACTTCACCCCAAATTGCTCCTGTGGGGATTGCCCACAGTATTGAGTATGTAAGTCGCTTTGGATAAAAGCGTCTAACAAGTGACATGTAATGTAATGTAATGTAATGTAACAGCAAATTCAGCCCCTCCTCCGGCTCCCGCGAGAGTCCCGTGAGCCGTGAGTGAGCCGTGAGTCGTTGGACTCGCGGGAGCCGTGAGTGAGCCGTGAGCCGTGAGTGAGCCGTGAGTCCGCAAATCTCTGAGTCTGCTGCGACTCGTCGCGGGAGCCGTGGGACTCGCGGGAGCCGTGCGAGCCGGAGGAGGGGCTGAGTCTGCTGTAGATTCGTGCATGGGGACGAGTCTGCTGGATCTGCTGCCTGCTATATGTTACGGCTCTGAGTCCTCGTAGGCTACTGGTCTCTCTCGATCATTGACCTGGATTCACGGATCCCGCGATTTTTCCGGCTCTAAATTAAGTTTCAGTGTAGACTTCTAACAAAATGGTCATGTTGTGCAACAGTCTCCTCAGGAAATGCAGCTATTATTATAGGAGACTCTCCTGTAATAAT